GAATGATTTCTGAAGGGTCATGTGACACTGAAGACTGGAGTAATGATGCTGATGAAAATTCAGCTTTGCATCATGGGATAAATTTTATTTTAAAATATATTAAAATAGAAAACCAATATTTTAAATTGCAATAATATTTCACAATATTACTTTTCACAATATTCTGGATATCTGATCAAATAAATGTAGCCTTGATGAGCAGAAGAGACTTCTTTAAAAAACATTACAAATTTTACTGATCCCAAACTTTAGAACGGCAGTGTATATATATAGATACTGTATATAGATTAAATAAAATATATCATGAAATAAAATTTTAAAATGAAAATTAATTAAAAATAAATAATTAAAAAGCAGCTTAAACCTGAATAAAATGCGCAAACATTGGCTCAAAGAATGACAAGCGATTATGGGCGGGACTATCTGTTTGCCGACCAATAGCAAATGGGGCGTGTTCAAGATACCTGTGTGGAAACAGTCATTATTTTGACGTTTAATGCCGCAAAAATTACACACTTCAGCTTTAACAGCATAGTAGTTAAATTAGCAAACTGCTATTATTATTATTATTTTTTTATTGAAACCCACCTGATTTCCGAAGACCCCGATGGAGCAGGCAGTGGACACTTCTTCCGATCCGAACCACACCGATGCGATGCGCGAGGGCATCCCGAGAATAAACACCTGCGCCACTGAGCACGCGAACTGACCCAAGAATGTCACCGGGAAAAGGTCCGGTCTCGCGCTGGCCACCTTGATCCACGTGCCTGTGCAATTCAGAGCCGCTGCCACGAGCGCGATGACCCTCAGACCTTTTTTATCCAAGAGCCACGAGACGGGAAAAATGAGCGGAATGTACGTCAACATGTAAATCATGGACATCCAGTCAATGGTGAAAGAGTCCACGCCGTAGAAGCGCATGAAGATATTGTTGATGATTGATCCGAACCACACCGATGCGATGCGCGAGGGCATCCCGAGAATAAACACCTGCGCCACTGAGCACGCGAACTGACCCAAGAATGTCACCGGGAAAAGGTCCGGTCTCGCGCTGGCCACCTTGATCCACGTGCCTGTGCAATTCAGAGCCGCTGCCACGAGCGCGATGACCCTCAGACCTTTTTTATCCAAGAGCCACGAGACGGGAAAAATGAGCGGAATGTACGTCAACATGTAAATCATGGACAACCAGTCAATGGTGAAAGAGTCCACGCCGTAGAAGCGCATGAAGATATTGTTGATGATTCCGTATTGAATCCATTGATAGGAGTTACATAGCGAATACGAGCTGAATAAAAACACTATGATCCATCTCTTTTTATATAAACGCGTTTCCGGCGGTGCGTTTTGGTGTTCAAAAGTCACCTCAGCATCAGCCGCGGCTGTTTTTGTGAAATATTTATTATCATTCACCTCTCCTGGCTTTGATTCATCGCCCATTTTCACTCGATTCAACCGCGTTCAGAGCTTCTCCGAGACTGAAAGATTCATTCATTCATGCTGAATGAACTGCTGTCACTGTATAACATGCCAAACTCTGTTGTAATTAAATACTTACTTTACATGAAAGATTAATGCCATGTTTCCTGAGTTTAAAGGCTAGTGAATAAACTTCCCATATTGCATCGATGTATGTTCTTCCGCTGCTCGGATTTAATAAAGTCTCCGGCTCTCGCAGCAGAAACTCTTCAAACGTTCGTTGAAAGTTTCGCCACCGTGATGAAGTTCCTGGCGTAAAAAAAAAACTAACTAGAAGAGAAATTATAAACAAACTGTTTGGCAAAAATGGGCGGAGCTTCACTGTAGGGCAGTCACGTGACATCCTTGAGCAAATAGAACAACTTACTTCAAGATATGTTGTAAATCTAACAGGAAACGTTCCAAAACAAAATTAAATAGCTATAAACATAGGGGTGTGGTTTGGTCAAGTCATTTTGGAAGGACCATAAATGTGCAATTTCCAGTTTTGAAATCTTTATTTTCTTAAATAGGCTACTTAACATACCTTTCTTTAATGACATGTCAATTAAATAATTATTAGCTTATTTTGTGCTCTGTTAATGAAGAAAAAGCATTCATTTATGAGGGGACAATTGTACGACCAAACTACATTTCCCATGATTCTCTGTTGTCCTCAAACTAATAAAATACACAAGTGCACTGCACATCACAATGATCACTGAAGTAGGCTACTTGTTGGCGCAGCAAATATAACCGCCATAACTTTTATAACTGAAGCCTTTTAATAGCTGATAATCTGTATCTTCATGTACGTGGATATTAATGTTTTGCAGTGATGAACCAACGCTGCTGCAGCAGCGAGTCAAGGCCACGTGCTTTGTGATTACAGGGCACATGAATTTATTGAATTGTTTTACAGTGACGCCTGAAGTGGATTTCGCTGTTTATTACAGAATGATACCAATCCTTGGAATTCATTTGAGATTTGAGATTTGAATGCGACTCAAAGGAAGATTCAACTTTCTGGTCCGCCGAGCCCCCTCTAGTGGAGATAGACACCAATCACACAGACTGGAAACATGCCACTCGGCTCAGTTTACTGATGTTTGTGCTGGATAAGGAAGAGATGGCGCCCTCTGCTAGGTTGGAGCTACTGGGGACGTTTTGGCCCTGTTGATGTGGATAACCGGCTGTCAAGCTCTATGCCATTAATTGCTCAAGCTAAGTATTATTTTAAATTATTACACACATTAACATAATTTATATATTGATATCATTTTATATCATTTATGCATGTATCACAATAAGAAGATACTATATCTCACAAACTATGTTTTTAAGCCCAGATTCAGTATCATCATATTTTTGTAATATTTGTTGGCTAAACACAATAAAATTATACAGTGAAGTGATGTGACATGTGGCCAAGTATGGTGACCCATACTCGGAATTAGTGCTCTGCATTTATCCCATCCAAAGTGCACACACACAGCAGTGAACACACACACACCGTGAACACACACCTGGAATCACACTAGTATACTTGTAGACAATGGTTAACTCTATTAAAAAGTAGATTTTAGAAGACCAAAGAGAAAAGGACATTTATCTTTAAAAGTCAGGTTGGGACAATTGTCCCATGTGTTTTATAAGTTATAATTTTAAACAATTAATCAATTTCAATACTTGTTGGTCAAAACAATGCCCTGCTATGTATGCATGTTACTTTTTAAACTTTTGCCTTTTCGTTAATAGTTTTTTTCATGATGGTTTTGCTCTTCAACGTTTCTGTTTATTACAAACAAAACATGAAATAAGAAAGATATGCAAATGACAAAGGAAAAGAAAATTCCCCCCACTATCATTGTTATACAGTATACTAGCATGATTGAAAACAATATCCATGTCTTCACAGTCAAGTTTAATATATGACAAAATAAAATTATGCAGCAAAAGCATTTGCCTATATAGGCAAAGATCAAGAAAAAAAAGAAAAAAACATTGTCTTACATTCAGTGAGTTACAGCACATTCATCAGGGATGAGTCTCTATTAAACACTTTAAATGTGAAAATTAATTTTAAGCTTTTCTGAAACCAAGGATAGAATAAGGCATAAATGATGGGATTAATGGTGGAGTTCAGGAAGAAAATCATTACAGTAACATCTCTGACATGAAACAAATCATCATCACTGTACGGAATCACTAAAGAGCAAATATAATATGGCAGTAAACACAGGAGAAACACAATGACCAGAATCCCCAGCAGTATGGCAGCTTTTCGCTCTGATTTGTCACTGACTGTTTTTGGAGGATTCCATTCTGTTGTGAACCTGAAGGGCTCTTATAGCAGTCACATGTTTCTTAGCAATGACAAAAACATGAGTGTATAATATTATAATGAGTGTACAAGGCATAAGAAACACAACTATGAGGTCAATGAGGGATGAAACCCCATCTATATTAGCAATACATATTCCTGGACACGTGACATCAGTGAAGTTTCCATTAACAAAAAGAAGAGTGAAGTTATAAAGGAGTGAAAACAGCCAGTTAAATAAAGTTGCTATGCAGATCACAGTGGGTGAGATCTTCTCAGAGTAAACGAAAGGCGAACGTAAGGCCAAAAACCGATCAACTGCTATCAGAGCCACAGTGTGAACAGACACACTTGTCGCTTGAAAATTCACAATTTTTAAAGCAGAGCACATCACTGATCCAGAAATCCAACATGACTCAATGACCCAAGACAAATGCAGTGGCATCACAAAAACTCCAACCAGGAGATCGCACACAGCCAAAGAGAGGATGAGGATGTTCGCAGGTGTGTGGAGCTGCTTGAAGTGACTAACAGAGATGATGACCAGCAGGTTTCCACACACGGTCAGAAGAGACACAGCCGCTGCGGCCACATACAGAATCACATACACAGATAAAGAAACAGATCTCTCTGGACACCAATATTCCTGACAGATGTCGGTTTGGTTCAGTGCTGTAAGATTCATTGTGAAATAATTGGAAGAACCATCCAATTCCAATCAGAGCATTGTTCTCTGTTCTTTCATATAAAGTGCAATATATGCATAACCACATAAAGACTTCTGAACATGTTATTTGTATCGCCAACAGCTCTAAACTGCTCCTCACCGAAACACAATCTACATATGCTCACGTGCGACAACCCATGCTGCCTTTTATACACTAGACATGTTGACTCTTTCCAAGACCGGCAGCATCAAGGGAGAAGAACATAGGCTACAGCTGGGAGATCAAATGATTTAGCAAAGTGTCACATAGAGCTCATACAAAAGCATGAGTGAATTTATATGAAATGTTTAAAATCAGTAACTAAAAGTAAAAAATTCTAGCCTTTAAAATCCTAATGTATGCATATAAATATCCCCGTGTATACTGTTAGATTTTTTTTGACTGTACTAAAGCATAAAAATGCCACAATATCTTTGCAGATAGGAAACATGCTAAGTTCACATAGGCCTGCTTGTTTCTCCGAAAAAACAATGATACAGCCAGTTATTCTACTTTGAAATGTGCGTTCCATGTCCGAATGCTGCCAATTTACCCAATCATATTTCGACAGCTCGGGTTGCCAGTTGGCGGAAAACAGCGAATCGCAAACAAACTGGGTCAGAGATCGCAGATTCCACCTGACCTAAAAGCTTTGTCATCCATCTAAAAAGCTCTATGTCAAGAAGAATATTAAAACGCACATAAATCAACTCATCGACTTACAGTAAAGCTCAATACCTACCATGGTCAATTGTGCTCATTCTTGTTGCATGTCCTCAATCTGGCAACCCACATGAGTGTCGAGTCTGTGGAGTAAGGGGCTAGAGAAACAACTCTCCAATATTTTGAATTTGGACAGCAGTACCCATTTAAACTGCTAGCTGTCAATATTACATACTTCACTTTTAAATGGGATATGAGGCCACGGGAGAGGATTTGTAAATTGCAGAGAAGCAACCAGTAATATAGGGTGACTAGTATTTGCGGGCTGTTTTGTTCATCTGTTGGTTACCAGAACAATCATGTAGTAGCCTAATTATTTGCACCAACAGAGGGCGCTGCAAGCTACACTAATTATTTGGTAACATGCCGCTACTTTAGCCATGAAGAACTTAAGGCCAAAGTTTACTTCAGTTTACTTTGTACACGAGGGACAGCATACAGTGTGCGTGATAGAATAGTACACGCATACTATACGCACGCCATCCAATTTTTGTAACCGTTCATACTTCGGCCCTGTCCCAAATAGCACCCTAAACCCTCGCGGTCTTCCTCTGAGTCCACACTTTCATGACGTGATGACGCTTTGACTGTCGGGTAGTAGTCATCTGCAGAGCTCGCCTCAGTGTGGGCTCGGCAGAAGTGCACATCGAGGGTGCATAGCGACCGCAAAGGGGGGCGCTCGCGAGCACCCTTCTGAAAGCTAAAATGAAGAATGGAACACTCTATGGTCTTGCGGACTTAACTGACACGTCGTTAAGTCCAATTGTAAGTCCACAAGACCGCAAGTGCACATGAAGTGTGCCATTTGGGACAGGGCCTTTGTACGTACAGGTCGCACATGTTCGTTGACTTGGTTTTACACTAAGCAGTTGTTCCACAAGGTGGCAACACTGCAACAGGCCGCTGTTTCACAGTAGAAAACGAAACTAAAGAGAGAACAACAACAAAGTAGCGGAGACTGCAACAACGACAGACTCCCACATTGACAAGCGCTTGTGTGAGAGGGTTATGAGAGAGCCGTAACTTTAGTTTAAAGGGGTCATATGATGCGATTTCAATTTTTCCTTTCTCTTTGGAGTGTTACAAGCTCTTGGTGCATAAAGAAGATCTGTAAAGTTGCAAAGACTAAAGTCTCAAATCCAAAGAGATATTCTTTATAAAAGTTAAGAGTCAACCACGCCTACCTAAAACGGCTTGTTCTAACACGCCCTCACGTCTACGTCACGATGTGGGAAGATTTGCATAACGCCGCCCAAATGTTCACGCAAAGAAAGAAGGCGTAACTTTTATTCTCGCTGTAGTATTGTTGTTGCTGCCGCCGCCATGTCGTGAAGGCGCTGTGTGT